TTTTGGTTTGTGGGTCTTTACATGGGTTTATCTCTATGTCCTAAGTCAAGCAGCTGTAGTTCTAGTGGAGTTCACTTTAATTCCCTGTTATCATCTGGACTCATTTAAGAGCTCTGAGTGATGCATCCGTTCAACATGCCATCAACCCAGAAACCATACCTTATACCATATCTAACAAAATTAAGTCAGGTGATCTGGACAGATTAAAAAAAAATTGTTGGCTCAACTGATTAATAAGGAGGGAGGATTGCTCAGTTACAATGAATTCCTCTCACTATAAAACTTTCCAGTCAGTCCGCAGGGAAAAAAGAAACACACAGTCTGGATGATCCCCCGTAAATATCCATCCATCCATCCATTATCTTCCGCTTTTTCCGAAGTCAGGTCGCGGGGGCAGCAGCTTGAGCAGGGAGGCCCAGACATCTCTTTCCACAGCCACCTCTTCCAGCTCTTCTGGGAGGACTCCAAGGCGTTCCCAGGCCAACCGAGAAACATAGTCTCTCCAGCATGTCCTGGGTCTTCCCCGAGGTCTCCTCCCAGTTGGACATGACCAAAGCACCTCTCTAGGGAGGCACCCAGGGAGCATCCTTACGACATGCCCGAACCACCTCAACTGGCTCCTCTCGACGTGGAAGAGTAGCGGTTCTACTCCGAGTCTCTCCCGAATAACTGAACTTCTCACCCTATCTCTAAGGGAGAGTCCAGCTACCCTGCCAAGAAAACTCATTTCAACTGCCTGTATACGTGATCTCATTCTTTCAGTCACTACCCAGAGCTCATGACCATAGGTGAGGGTAGGAACGTAGACCGACCAGTAAACAGAGAGCTTTGCCTTACAGCTCAGCTCTCTCTTCACCACAACGAACCAGTACAGAGTCCATAATACTGCAGATGCTGCACCAATCCGTCTGTCATAGTCACGCTCCATTCTTCCCTCACTTGTGAACAAAACCCTGAGATACTTGAACTCATCCACTTGAGGCAGAACATCACCCTCGACCTGAAGAGAGCAATCCACCCTTTTCCGGTTGAGGACCATGGCCTCAGATTTGGAGGTGCTGATTCTCATCCCAGCCACTTCACACTCAGCTGCAAACTGCTCCAGTGAGAGCTGAAGATCATGGCACGTTGACGCCAACAGGACCACATCATCTGCAATGAGCAGAGATGGAATCCTGAGGCCACCGAACCGGAAACCCTCCGCCAGCTGGCTGCACCGAGAAATTCTGTCCATAAAAGTTATGAACAGAATCGATGACAACGGGCAGCACCTGGCGGAGTCCAACTCCCACCCTGAAGGGGTCCGACTTACTGCCGGCAATGCGAACCAAATTCTTGCACCGCTTGTATAGGGACTGAACAGCCCATAACAACGGGCCTCCAATCCCATACTCACGGAGCATCCCCCACAGTGTACCCCGAGGAACACGGTCGAATGCCTTTTCCAAGTCCACAAAACACATGTAGACTGGATAGGCAAACTCCCATGACCCCTCAATGACCCTAGTGAGGGTAAAGAGCTGATCCATTGTTCCACAGCCAGGACAGAAACCACATTGTTCCTCCAGGATCTGAGGTTCGACCAACGATCGGACTCACTTCTCCAGTACCCCTGAATAGACCTTACCAGGGAGGCTAAGGAGAGTGATGCCCCTGTAATTGAAGCACACCCGCCGGTCCCCCTTTTTGAAGAGGGGAACCACCACCCCAGTCTGCCAGTCCAGTGGCACTGCCCCCGATGTCCACGCAACATTGCAAAGGTGTGTCAACTAAGACAGCCCCACAACATCCAGAGCCTTAAGGAAATCAGGGTGAATCTCATCCACTCCCAGAGCTCTGCCACCTCGGAGCTTTTTAACTACCTCGGCGACCTCAGCCACAGTTATGGACGGATCAACCCCAAAGTCCCCCGATTCAGCTTCTTCCATGGAAGACGTGCTGGTGGGATTGAGAAGGTCCGAAAAGTATTCCTTCCACCTCCCGACGACATCACTTGTTGAGGTCAACAGCACCCCACCTTCAATGAACACAGTGTTAGTAAAGTGTTGCTTTCCCCTTCTCAGCCGCCTGATGGTTTGCCAGAATCTCCTCGGAGCCGACCGAGAGTCTCTATCCAAGATCTCACCGAACTCCTCCCACATCTGAGCTTTTGCCTCAGCAACAACCAAGGCTGCACACCGCTTGGCCCTCCAGTACTCCTCAGCTGCCTCCAGAGTCCCACTGGCCAACAAGGCCTGATAAAAGACTCCTTCTTCAGCTTGACAGCCTCCCTAACCCGGGGTGTCCACCACCGAGTTCGTGGATGACCACCGCGAGAAGCACCAACAACCTTGCGGCCACAGCTCAAGGCAGCTACCTCAAGAAGTGAGGTGCGAAACATGGCCCACTCAGACCCCCGTAAATAATTAATTCTAAATAAGGTGAAGGGAGTGTTATTTAAAGTTCTTCATAAAATTTACCCTGCTAATAAGCACTATATGGTCAAATTTAAAAGAAACATTCAGTTTCTGCGACACACCTTTTTTGTTTCTGCTCTTTCACACAGAAGTTCTGGAAGGAGTTTAGCAAGTTTATTATCAAACATATTTTGAAAGATTTCTCCTTATGATGGGAAAGTGTTTAATTCTGTTTTTTTAGAATCCCTAAAAAGGATGTTTAATTTTTTTAAATAATAAATTTTCTAATTCTTCTTGTTAAATTTTATATTCATAAATGCAAATTAGTAAATAAAACATCATATTTTCTTTATTTTCTTAAAGATGTGGCACTATATAGTCAGAGGGGTTTTTTCTCATAAAGTTAATGTCAGACTCCACCAACAAAAATACTCAATTGTCCATTTTTGGATCTATTTGTCAACATCCCTGGCTCTTTGTTCATGCAAGTGTATTTCATTCATCCATTGTTGTATTCTTGATATTTGTTCAACAGATAAAAAAAACGTAACATCTTTGTTTTGGTTTTTTTTTTTTTTTTTACTTTATTTTTTAGGGGTGCCAAGTTAAAATTTAGGGGTGTGAGCACCTCCCAAAAAGAAGCTAAAATCGCCACTGCCTGGAAGCAGTTGTCCCTGGCAACACAACAAAAGAAGGAATAATGGCCAATCCCCGCCCAGACAACGACTTGAAGTTAAATTACAGCAGATCCTCCGGGGTTTGGTCCTCCAGCCAACAAACATCCCGACGCACTTTGATGCGCGTGGTGAGAAACTCCCTGAGGAGCGTGGGAGAAACACACAGCTCTGTGGAAAGGTGTCAAGCTCCTACTCCCCCACACAGCCCGAGGTGTTCAGTAAAACATATGGATTCATGAGTTCAATCGATATTTTGTGCAGCGATTCGTGCCAAACTGCACGCGGAGAAATGCACCACGGGGAGAACAAAAGGCACCAATGAACTAAAATGAACATTCAAAGTCACATTTTTAAGGAATAGTTAAGCTTTGTAACCGTTTAACACCGATAAATATTTAAATTTGCTGCGTAAAAGTTGATCCAAAACGTTCCCAAAAGTCCATGTGGGGATTTAACTAGAGTCGGAGCATCACATAAATCTGGTTTTTAGAGTTGCTACAAAAACTGTTACAAATGTCATCTCCAACAGACAAAGACTGTGCAGCTCTCTTACCTGTCGTGTCAAGTCCACGCGCTCAGCCGTGCATGTCTGCAACCTCTAGGATGAGTGGAGCAGCCCAACACGTGCGCATCCTCCGCATCAGCAGGGAGCTCTGACAGCTCAGAGGGACGGGCTGAGGTTCTGAGCTGCAGGTCCACACAGGGAGGACCCTGCTACTGCCTGCACAGCTTTGAGGCTGATGGAGGAAGAGGAGGGAGGGAGGAGGCTGTCAAGCTCCAGACGCTTTATTCATAAAGTGTAGCTCGAGTGTTTTATGAAGTCAAATCTACTTTCTGTGAAATACATTGTAGATTAAGCATTACAGTTAAGAGCCCTGTTTTAGACACCTGACAGTTCATTTGAATTTGGTGCCTTTAATTGACTGATTTTAAAAAGGTCAGCATCATTTTGGAGTATGCATAAATGGCTCGGTTCATTTTGAGAATACAGCAGCACATAAGAGGAAATCTAAAGGTTAACAAAAAGGCAAGACATTCTTCCTCTTTGCAATACATCTGATGAACCACTGGATTTTAATGATACTTTAAACTAAATGTGCATCTACCATGATTGCCTGTTGGGAGTCAATTCAAGTCAAGATGGCCACCACAACCAACTGAACCCTGAAAATACAAAACTGGCTAGAAATTGGCCAGTTTTAAAGATGTGAAGCTCAATTTTGGTGTGGTAATAACATCCTGCAAGCTATAGCACCTGAGATCACACAAGTCATATGCATGTTTGAGTAAATCTGCTACTAGTCCATCCCTTAGATTTGTTTAAAACTATGGTTAAACAGCAGCTGATATGCATGCCTTCAAAATAGACCTTTGACTTTTCATAGCAAAAAGCCTTTGTGGGTTTCACTTTAATCACTATAGACAAATTAAATGACAAAACTGCACATGTATTTTATGACATTTAAAGAAAACCTCCAAAAGAAGCAAGAAAGTGAACAGAATCACTCCCACCCTACTGAATCTCCAGCACTGACATTTATCTTCTTTAGGACACGTCAGGCAGCCAATTTGGTTAAAATCAGTCCTGCTTCATCTGCCACCTTCCTTAACTGGATGGTAAAAGTGATTCTTCTGCCGCCAGCTGTAACCATCACCTCTCAGTGTAATGGCCTGCTTCCGTCTCCTCGCCCCCTGCAGCTGCCGGCTCTTTCCTCCCAATTTTTGAGGGAGAGGCAGGCTGCAGCTGACAGGACGGCACGAACCAGGGGGACAATTAGAGAGGCGTGGGAGCAACATCTAAACCTGGTGCCAATTACACAGAGCATGATCTGGAACTGCAAAGACGGCCCAAAAAATGGACTCCATGCTCAAAACCAAACTGAGAATCTAGCGCAGACTGTTCGACCAACAGGGATGAGAAATTAAAACAAGTTAATTTTATTTATTATGGTTCTGTAGGAAAAGTTTTACATGAGTAAAAGTGCATTCAGAGAAAATACCTGGTGCCTTATTCATACACGAGTCAAATAAATGTAACAGAGCAAAAACACTAACTGTTGTAATCCATGACACATTAATAAATTACACTTGAGAGACGGATTACTAATCTGTTGTATCCGTGTCATCAACACTGTGACCTAAATCTAGGAGGATAGCATGTCCACCACACCATCATCAGTGGGAGCCCTTTCCCAGCAGAAGACTCTGCAGCTGCCTTATCCGGCTCTCCTGCGGCAGCGCCAGTCTCCTCTCAGCTTGCTCCTCTTCCTCCAGCAGCTGCTCGATGTAGCAGGAGGAGCCCAGCAGGATGTGGCCCGTGGCCTGCATGGAGAAGATGGTCCACCGGAGAGCCTCCCTGCAGGCACAGGGCAAAACACAGGGGAGAAAAAGTGTGAGTGTGGACATAAGCAGTCAATTCCCATGTGCAGAACACACAGCTGGACATAAATGTACAGCACTGATGCAACACGATATGTACAACACGCCTTAATCCAGTTCATGACAAAATAAAAACATGTTCCAGGAGCACGAGTAAAGTCCAACAGGTAGATCAAAATGTCTTTTTGGCAACAGATGAACTTAAAACTGTTGCTGAAAACCTGATATCTTTTAAAAACAGTGACAGGAGCATCATATTTGATAAGTGGACAAACTATAATCCTCCGAGGATCAGTGTCAGAGCTGAAAACCTGCAGCAATGACATAACTCCTGATGAAATTAATCCATGTAAAACCTTTGTTCTTCTCACCGCTTTACAACAAACACTCAAATCACAACTTCCTTTTCAGCATTAAGAGGGACTTGCCAACAATACTGGACATCAAGTACTAAATACCCTGCTGATGTCCAGTTTGGGAGAAGAACAAAACACTGAAGTGTTGGAGCTACGGCAGGAAAAGTAGTTTGCAATTTGCAAAACAGAGAAAAAAAAAAAACATGTCATTTTAATCCATAGTTCAATTACATCTTTCCTTTAGCAGCTAGTTCAACTCGTGTAATTTTTACTCACTTCAGGATCTTTTTGGCTGCATAACAACGCAGATCGTAGGACACCGTGTACGCTCCGTACAGGGTAGCTTTCACATTCAAGCAGCCAATAAAGTCCTTGGGGTTGTTCTTGTAGAGGTCAAGGGTCAGCTTGGCCACATCTGTGCGGTGCTGCCGAAAACGTTCGATGTGCTGATACCTGGAGGGGCTGTTCTGTGAGGAGACGAGACACGAGGTAGGTCAGCGCAGAAGCTTTTTGTTTTTCCAATAGCAGCTGAACGAGCTGCTAAAAAACATACTGAGGCTCAATTAAGAGGTAAAACCACAACAAGAAGGTGAGGTCACCATTAAACGTTTCAGGTGAATTACTGCATGCACTACTGTTTTTATTTAACTGTTACTTTTCTGTTAAAAAAAATATTTAAAATCACACTGCTGGGTCTTAAACATTGAAGTCTTAAACATTATGAATAAGTAAACCTTTGACGTTTCTTCTGGCTTTACAAACAATATTTAAAAGTAGACTACATCCATAAAGCCATATCAAAGTATTGTTTTCCTGTTTTATAACAAATGCTGAACAGAAAATCAGTACACAAAGCTCTGCTCTGTGGATAGAGGGCCACAAACTGGAGAAGATTGCCATCTGGTGACAGCTACTGTAATAAGAGCCTTACTGGATGAGGGTTCCACTTCTGATCCTTCTCCAGGACCATCAGAACCGTGTTCTCTGGCAGCGTTTGGAAGAACTCCTCTGTGTCCACACCAGTACCGTCTTCATCCAGAACCAGTGTGCTGATGCAGTCTACAGTCAACGAGCAACTGACCTGAAAGACCAGACAACGAGTTATGCAACTGTGGGGGGACAGGAAGCAGCCGAAGCTCCAAAGAAAAGAAAAACAAAAGATTTAACCACGTTTGCCTATAAATACAATGTAGTGTTATCACAGAGTCTGATACGACATGTTGCTCTCATTAACTTGGACCATAAGTTTAAAACATGTACAAGAGTCAGACGAGTGAGGATTACTTCATTCCTTCACAACTTTGTACATGTTCAGCTTTGGTCCCTTTAATCCCAGTCTTTCCTGGGTAAAAGAGGAGCAAACTGACACGGGCCTCTAAATATTTTCTATACACAGTAGTCCCTCGCAACTTCACGGTTCGATTTTTGCAGACTCGGTCTTTCGCCGTTTTTCAAAGTAAGATTGTAGAGAAAAAAGAAGAAAAAAAAAAAGATCGTACACGACACATGATTGGGACAGTACGGGATACAGTAAAAAGTTAATAAAAAAAAATACTTTGGACAGGCGCCACCATTTTGTAGTTTTCTCATCCATCCATCCATCCATTTTCTTTTACCCGCTTATTCCATTTTGGGTCACGGGGGTCGCTGGTGCCCATGTCCAGCAATCACTGTGCGAGGGGCGGGGTACACCCTGGACGGGTCGCAAGTCCATCACAGGGCCACATAGAGACAAACGAGACAAACAACCATTCACACTTTCACTCACACCTAGGGACAATTTTTTTTTTAGAGTTACCAATCAACCTAACATGCATGTTTTTGGTCTGTGGGAGGAAACCGGAGTACCCGGAGAAAACCCACACATGCACGGAGAGAACATGCAAACTCTGCCCAGAAAGGCCCCTGGACCGGGGTTTGAACCAGAGACCTGCTCGCTGAGAGGCAGCAGCTCTACCAGTTGCGCCACCGTGCTGCGTAGTTTTCTCAATAAGCATACATTATCGCCACTCAAAAGGACTACATCTCCCAGAAGCAACGGTGCTTCCTGCTGTTGCTTTCTGCAGAAATGGAGGGAAAGTTTTGATCCAATCCAAAAAAGTTTGGTCCTATGCACAGTGACTTTGGCACCCAGTGGATGCAGAGAGCCGCATGGAACCGACTGTAAACCAGATTAGAACCGGACCTCCAGGCTCAATGGTCAGAGTGCTGCCTGCCAGCCCACAAGGCCTTCTGAGCGAGGAGGCGCCACCTGCCCCCCCTCCCAGCCTCGTTCATTACTCAAAACCGCAATCATGGGTAAGACTGCCGACCTGACTGCTGTCCAGAAGGCCATCATTGACACCCTCAAGCAAGAGGGTAAGACACAGAAAGAAATTGCTGAACAATAGGCTGTTCCCAGAGTGCTGTATCAAGGCACCTCAGTGGGAAGTCTGTGGGAAGGGAAAAGTGTGGCAGAAAACGCTGCACAACGAGAAGAGGTGACCGGACCCTGAGGAGGATTGGGGAGAAGGGCCGATTCCAGACCTTGGGGGACCTGCGGAAGCAGTGGACTAAGTCTGGAGTAGAAACATCCAGAGCCACCGTGCACAGGCGTGTGCAGGAAATGGGCTACAGGTGCTGCATTCCCCAGGTCAAGCCACTTTTGAACCAGAAACAGCAGCAGAAGCGCCTGACCTGGGCTACAGAGAAGCAGCACTGGACTGTTGCCCAGTGGTCCAAAGTACTTTTTTCGGATGAAAGCAAATTTTGCATGTCATTCGGAAATCAAGGTGCCAGAGTCTGGAGGAAGACTGGGGAGAAGGAAATGCCAAAATGCCAGAAGTCCAGTGTGAAGCACCCACAGTCAGTGATGGTCTGGGGTGCCATGTCAGCTGCTGGTGTTGGTCCACTGTGTTTTATCAAACACAGGGTCAATGCAGCTAGCTATCAGGAGATTTTGGAGCAATTCATGCTTCCATCTGCTGAAAAGCTTTATGGAGATGAAGATTTCATTTTTCAGCACGACCTGGCACCTGCTCACAGTGCCAAAACCACTGGTAAATGGTTTACTGACCATGGTATTACTGTGCTCAATTGGCCTGCCAACTCTCCTGACCTGAACCCCATAGAGAACCTGTGGGATATTGTGAAGAGAAAGTTGAGAGATGCAAGACCCAACACTCTGAATGAGCTTAAGGCCGCTATCGAAGCATCCTGGGCCTCCATAACACCTCAGCAGTGCCACAGGCTGATTGCCTCCATGCCACGCCGCATTGAAGCAGTCATTCATGCATTAAAAACACTTGTCTTTCATTGGTGGGATGAAATATGCTAATTTTTTGGGACAGGCATTTTGGGTTTTCATGAGCTGTATGCCATAATCATCAGTATTAAAACAATTAAAGACCTGAAATATTTCAGTTGGTGTGCAATGAATCTGAAATACATGAAAGTTTCATTTTTATCATTACATTATGGAAAATAATGACCTTTATCACAATATGCTAATTTTTTGAGAAGGACCTGTACATGTTACAATTACCTAGGTTTAAGAGTTTAGAACATTGCAAGAGTGTGGGAAGGGTTTATAAAGCCTATATAAAAATAAAACAAAAATACTAGAATAATTAGAACGTCCCTACTTTGTGGATTTTCACTTGTTGTGGAGGTCCAGAACGCAATGCCCGCAAATAAAATGAGGGACTACAGTCGTCGATATTTCCAAGATCCGCTCATCTGATTGGTTCAAATTAGGGTTTGGACCTCCAGTTAAAGATAATTAGAGATTACTTTAAAAAAAACATAAATGTGGTTATAGAGCTTACATAATCAGCATTTATTGTAGGATTGGGATTTGGTTAAGATGAAAGCTTACAGAGTAAGAAAATGTCTAAAACGGATACAACAATATGGAATAAGTGCAGAGTACGATGTGTTCAACAATGTGCCCCAGGGCGGTCAGACACTGTAACGATGGGCAGTACTGCTTACATCCCATAAATGTAACCCTCCTCATGGTGTCACCCTTTATTCAGCACTTCTCTCACCTTGTTCATCAGATCTTGTAGTGACTCTGCCATGATGCCTTTCTTCACACTCCTGTCAGCGTTCGTCACTCTGAAGGGTTTGGGTCGAAGGCTTCGTCCCGACAGGAGCTGCTGGGTCATGGAGGCACTGGCTGAGACGCTCGACGTCACAACCCTAAAACGAGAAGAACGAGTATAAATCTGACTGTACGCAGGTGGTTTCATCTTCTGGTAGATCACGGTTCTTACTTGGACAGGCTGGAGGGAGTCAGAAGGCTGAAGGACTTCTTGGCATAATCCATCTGAGAGGACATTGATCTGTGACGACAGAAGAGTTTACAAGTTTTCTTAAATTCTGTTTTTAAATGTTCAGATTCATCATTACATTCTTCTTATGAACATCACACTATCTAGTTTCTCCTATATCAAAATTTGTCAAATTACAATAAAAAATGTTCAAATAAAAATTTGAACAAATACTCAAAATAAAAAAAGTCTTACAAAAATAATGTGACCGTCCTTCAAAGGAAGTCCTCAACGATTAGAAACAAATCCGTGTGAAGGCTGTCTTCTCTGTGAAGCTCGGTTCAGACCTCCTAACCACAGCTTTAACACGCTCCGCTCTCGTTGCACCACTTGGTCAATGAACTTTGTGCTGGTGACAGCTGCGCCGCTTTCCCTCACATTTATTGGGAAACTCTCCACAGACACTCCCTGCTGACCTCGACTCAGCGTGACGCAGTCCAAACTGAGCATGCCATCCCAGGCAGTGAAGGGGAAAGGGCAATCGTGTTTTCACCCCCATGTCTGTGCTTCCTGTGTTAGCAAAATCTGTTGTGAAGCAGGCAACCTGTGATGACCTTAGCTTAAAGCTCTGGTATGAAAAAGGTGCAAAGACCACGTTAGAATTAAAGAGCTCCGTCTCGACCAGAAGAGTCCAAAGTTATAAAAAAAAGTTTTGATTTTCTGCATCTTTTTCATAAAGACTAACTTAAGAGATTATGACTCGTTATTCCATCTGTCAATGATCAAGGAAGTTTATCATCAAGATGGGGACCTCCTAACAACCTCCTCATGAGCTCATGGTTAAAGTTCAGGACCTGATGTCAACATAGAGCGTCAGGTGTGTTCAGACCTGTGTTGTTATCAAATCATCACACAATTTCATCCACAAATGGAACAGACTCACGTCAGAGCTCTGCAGGCTGAAACAAACGACGACGACGGGCAGAAATATTTAAACCAACAGAGCAAGGGTTGTTATAGAGGGAGCCTTCAAATTAAACAGGACAGATTTCAGCCGAAATTCAAAGAATTATATTTAGGAATATTTTTGCACATCGTTACGTGTAATAATATTTTAAGCATGTATAAATATTGTGAAAATCTAAAAAAGGTAGTCTATTAGAAAGTACCCCTTTTCAACATGTTAAAAAAAAAAATTTACAAGTTCAAGTTCTCACTAGAGTTTACGTTTCACGAGCGTTTTTCTGCATGTAAAAAAAAAAAAAAGTTCATGCAACTCATTACATGAATCATTAGCAGATTTTTTAATTACAATTTTAGCATCGACTTAATTTGGAGTAATTTTTTAAAAGCACATCATTCATCTCCTGAGTGTGTTCCTGTCTGTGTGGACTTTGGCAGCAGTCTGCTTTCGTCAAACATTCAGACTGAATTTAAAAAATAAAAAAAAAATAAAAAAAAAAGTATTATATATATATATATATATATATATATATATATATATATATATATATAGATAGATAAATAAAAAAATCAGTTTGACAGCTCAAGGGGAGTTCTGCTTAAAGTTTGTACTCTTATTTTACAGGTGTAAGCGTCATCTGCCATGATGCATGGAGTTGCACTCATTCCTCAGTGGCCTTTGAGTCCTTCACAAGTCTTGTTAGTAATTTATGATCAGAATAGAGCGCAGTAAAGATTTTAATCAGCATCAGGACATCTGACTTACAGACCATTTTAAAGTTTAGTCCGTGAAGCGTTTGGCTACATCAAACGGATCAGTGTTGGTGTACAGAAGTTTCACAAAACACACACACCACCACCCCAGCTCACCCTCTGGATCCCCAGGCATGACTGAACTACATTTACATAATCTCATCACATAATTACTAAAAACAAAACCACCAGTTTGGTTTCATCGTTTGCTGTCTGCTGTTTAGCCGCTAGATGGCGCAGATACCAAGCTTTAAACGATGAATGAATGAACCCATTTTCAGCACATTGTGAAGTGGTTAAACACTGCTTCATGGCTTCATTTGCACACCACAGATCAGGAACTGAGTTTGTTTTATCAGGCTCAACTCGCACTAATTTCTCTGCAGCAGATTAAAACCCTCACGAGCTCAACATTCTTCCAAAGACAGTAACTTTAACAGAATAAATAAACAAATCAATAAATTCCGCGTTCTAAAAGATGTTTAAAGGACGCTGTGCATCATCCGCACTTACTTCTGCTCCGTCCCCGTGAAGTTCGTCGCGCGCAAGTCTGGGTTCGCACCATTTACACCCCGGCGCACCTTGACGGAGTGGGCGGAGCCTGCAAATCCCCCTCAATGACCGCATAGAGCGGTCAAACACACCTGAACACCACGTGCTGTTCAGACTCAGAGCAGCAGTGTGATCTAGATGTATTTGTTAGTTGATAATATTATTTTTATACTTTAATAAGTATCTAATCCGTGAATCAGACGCAATACAGCTTGATAAATTTGACAGATCGTTATGGTTTTAATGCCTCTTCCCTCCCCCGCCTCCTCCACCGGCATCGAGAGAAGGAGCTGAACTAATTTAACAGGTAAGTATTTGCACCTGGCGAGGTAACGTCAATTAAGGGCAACAATGAGCCATTTTGATATCTTTTTATCGTTCCTCCCTGTTTGTGTGCGCGTGCACGTAAGCGGGCGCGTGCAAATGATAGAAGGAGCTTTTATTCTCAAAGCAAGAAGATTGAAACCTTGATGTTCATGAATTACTTAAGAGAGGTGAAGACGAAGACAACGTGGACAAGAACTGCGGACTTTAAAGGCAGCTTTTAGCTATCACTATCCTACATAAAGTTGAATAAACTCAAGTAAATAATAGCAATCGTTCAAACTTGTTCCATGAATTGCAAGCCATATTCAAATACTTAAAGAGAGTTGGCGCCGTTATCAGAAAGCAGTAAAAGCTGCTAAATCCAAATTCTTCTCTGATATAATTACCTCAAACTCTCACAACCCACGTGTCCTCTTCTCCACCCTAAACTCTGTTCTCCACCTCACTGAACCATCACCTCTGGAAGCCTCGACTGAGCTGTGTGACAACTTCTTACATTTCCTTTTAGAAAAAATTGCAACCACCCGGGCTCTCATTTTACCTCCAACTCATGACCCATCCATCCCACCTCAATCTGTAGCTCCTTTTGACCATTTTGAACCCATCACTCTTATCTTCTCTAGAGCAGGTCATGTGCAGCTTGAAACCTTCTGGCTCCCCCTTTGATGTGGTGCCCCCTCGACTACTAAAGGAGGTTTTTCCTACTCTAGGTCCGTCCATTCTTGATATAGTAAACAGTAGTTTATCCACTGGCGTGGTGCCAAAATCATTTAAACATGCTGCTGTCCAGCCTCTCCTGAAAAAAACCAAATCTTGACCCCTCAGTCGTTTCCAACTACCGGCCTGTCTCCAAACTCCCATTTGTTTCTTAAGTACTGGAGAAAATAGTCGAGTCCCAGTTGAAGTGCTTCCTGTATTAGGTAGGTGTGCTTGTTCCTTCTGAAGTCCACAATCAAGTTTCCAATGCTGACGTGGAGCACCCCCTAGGGCTTCAGGAGCTCAACATGGCCCTCCAAAACATGGAAGGCCATTAAGCTCCCGGCATATCGACGGGCTCACGGTGGAGTTCTATAAGAGGCTCAATGGGATTTACCTGTCTAAATAAAGGTTGAATGAATAAGGCCTACGGGGACGTCTTGGCAGAGGACCTGCTGGATATTTTTAATGAAAGCCTGATCACTGGATCACTACTGCTGTTGTGCCGCAGAGCGGTCATCACTCTTCTGCCCTAAAAAGGGAATCTGCAGAGTTGGCGCCTGGTCTCTCTCCTCTGTACCGACTACAAAATCCTCTCCAAGGCCCTGGCAACCAGGATGAGAGAGGCAATGGACCAAGTCATCCACCGGGACCAGACTTGTTGCGTCCCCAGCAGGTCGAGTGTCCATGGTTTTGTTTTACCTGGTTTTAATAGTAATGGTCTTATCCGCCTATACTGACAATGTTGTTGTTTTTATTTTATTTTTTTAAACAAAAAGACGTTGACACACTGAACGAGGTCACTGACAGTTTTTTCACCCTGTCTGTTGCGAGGGTGAACTGGGGAAAGAGCACAGCCCTTGGTGGCCTGAAGGGCTCCCAGTTCTCCCTCAAAACCTCCCATGGAAGAGAGATGGTCTTAAATATCTCGGTGTCTATCTAGGGAATAAGACTGGAGTACAGAAAAACTGGGAAAATGTGGAACAGAAGGTCAGAATAAATTGGAAAAATGGAAATGGCTGCACTCTAAAATGTCCTACAGACGCAGAGTACTAGCTTTAAGCAACCTAGTTGCATCACAACTGTGGCACAAACTATCTGTTTTAGACCCACCTCCAGGCTTGTTAGTAAAAAATACAGGCTGAGATGGTAGATTTCTTTAGGAACAGTTGACATTGGGTGCCACAGACAGTCCTGTTTTTACTTGGGGGGGGGGGGGGGGGGGGGTCGGGTCCTTGTCCATCTGGCCATCAGAATGGCTACTTTTCGAATACAGCTCCTCCAGAAGTACCTGGCAGGACCTCCTGACACTGTGTGGAGGGATGTGGCCAGCTGCATTCTCAGATGCGTGAGCGGATTGGGGCTGAATGCGGCTCTGCTTCTAACTAATGTTGGCCTTTTAAAGTTAAAGGGGTTGCCCCAGTTTTATTGGAGTGTTTTCAAAGTGTTTTCTTTTTTTAAAACCAAACAGATCAAAAACGTATAATTCTCTGCAGTGGCTCTTAGAGGAAATCTGTGAAGCGAGAATGGAGGTCTGTAATAGCATGGTGCTGGATCGTTCAAAGGCACTGTGAGAATCTGGGACGAGGACTTCTAGAAGACTTCTAGAATTGCGCCGCTCAAGGTGGCTGCATGTTGGAGCAACTCTGTTACTTTCATTCTGAGGTTTTGCTTTTGGAAACTTTAATTCCTCTTTTTCTGGATGTAAATCACATTTTTTTGGATGATTGTTTCCTCTGGTATCAGATGCTGTGCAGCTGGAAGGATTTTTACTGCAACTTTTTTTAGTTTTGGACGTTTGTTATGATGCGTAACCATGACAACAAGGCAGTTTTCTACAACCAACAGCAGCTGATTAACATCTCAAAAGCTCAAATAATATCTCAACTACAGCCCCAAATCTCAAATGAGTTGAAAAGGATGTTCTGTGGATGCATTCTCATCTACCTGCCAGCTGTGCTGGAGTGCCTGACCACTGAGATCCTGGAACTAGCAGGAAACACGGCTCATGACAGTGGATGGACAGGATTGTCCCTCGGCACCTACAGTTGGCTGTCCGCAGTGACGAGGAGCTCGTCAGGCTGCTGGGAGGAGTGGCCATCGCACTGGGAGGAGTTCTGCCTGGCATTAGGGTGGTCCTACAGCCCAGGGGAACCGAAAGGCCAGCCGAGTCTGGGTGGACGGATCGGACGGCATCTGCAGCCAGTTTCTTAGGATCCACTGTGGGATGGACCTTTACAAGAGATCCTTCCTGCCTTCAGCCATCAGTATCTATAACATCTCTTAATGAAATGAGGATAACGAGTTACAACAACAAATAATTTCCCTTTGGGATTAATATAGTATTTTTGAATTTGAATTTGAATGACCCTGAGGCGATTGATGGAGACAGCCGGACCAGACTCCTCCAACGTCCAAGAGGTGGTTTCGTTGCTTGGGGTCCGGTCTGCCAGAGTGGTGCAGCGCTTCTTGGACCTGGCGAAGGAGAGGATGACAGCTGGAGAGAAGCATCTCCTGCATCTGTGGTCCACAGGAAATCGCCCGTCTGACCTAATGGACCTATTCCTGGACATCCACCTGGATCCTAACTTTGCGAAGGACTGTGGTCCTCTGCTACGCAACACAGACCCAAAGATAGACTTGTGCAGAACAGGCCCAAAAGTACTTTATAAGACTTATATTAAGATCCTGAACAAGAGAACTCTGCACAACAGAGCTGTCAGCGTGTGGGACGACAAGCTCAGAGGTCAGAAGCCCTGTTGGAGAACTCTTTACAGATCTCAGACAAAAAAATGGACTGGCGATCTTCAGTGGAGGATCCTTCATGGCGCAATTGCAACAAACTCTTTATTGACGGTCATCAATCCTGAGGATTTAAACGAGTGTCCTTTTTGCAGTTTGTCTGAGAGTGTTTTTCATGTTTTTACAGATTGTGTACAGCTGACGGCTGTGTTTAATCTAATTACGAGGATTTTTAGCCTTTTTGACACAGTTTTCACATAATCTATTTTTATTAATGGAGTACATTAGCAAAGCCACTTAGTTTAAATCCCAAGTTTTAAACATTTTAGTGGCTGAAGCAAACATGGCTGTTTACTTGTCTGGCAGGGACAGACTGCAGGCTGAACCTCAAATTGATGCCGTGGCTCTGTGGAAGTTCAACATCAAGGTCAGACTGGTCTTGGAGTTTTGCTTCCACAGAGACACTGGACATTTGGAGAATTTTGTGAAACTGTGGGGATTTAAGGTTTTATGCACCATTTCTGATCAGGAAGAACTACAATACAGCAAGCTCTTCATGTAAATATTTTATTCTAAGCTTGTCCTGATCACCTTTCTTTAACACTGTTGTGTTAACTTATTGTGTAAATAAAGTTTTGTTAAAAATCAAATGTATCTTCTTTCAGCTTCTAACTAGCATTCTGCTTCTTTTAGCATCTAACTAGCTGTAAATAACCACAAATATATTACAACAAGTTAGAATGAATTTTATTTTGAAGTTTCTGCTGTGATGTTGTTGACTTCCTGTTTGATCTGCAAGCCTTTATTTTGTATCTGCATTTCCTGTTTAGGGAGTGGTGTGTTTTGTTTGCTCAGGTATGGCAGTAAATTTTGCTGAGTCGCAGTAAACTTTTTTTTGTAGTAGCAGCCCTTACGAAGAGGCTAAACGTATGTTGATTTAAGTATTTAATATATATTCATGAGCATATGTCTGTTAATGTATAATTTGCATTTTAAGACAGAATGTTAATAGAAATGACGTAACCCTACAATGTGTGGCTCCTGTTGTAGACCAGGAATTATCCACCAGATGGTGTTTTATAAGCTTTATTTTCAACACACACTGACAGAGTGTACCCCACAGGTCTTTGTGAGAGCTACCGCCCTCACTCATGGTTACACTACCACTAACAAGCCTATCACAACTAACACTTAATGAACACATAAACTATTCAAGAACATGCTAAACAGCTAACCAACATGAAAAACAATGAACATAAATTTTGCCCATAATCTCTCACTGATGTCCTGTGACCAACAGTCAGCCACAGCAGAATGCTACATAGCCCCTACCTGAAGGGCTAGTTGTCCTCAACAACCCATTCACATTCACTCAAAACATAGTCCTGCAGGTATTCTGGCTGACGACGCTGGCGTACAGGACGTTGGGGCACAGGACGTTGGGGACACTGACGTGTGACAGGTTAGTTAGCAGGTGAGCCGGCAGGTGAGTCGGTAAGGGAGGTGTCATTTCTAATGCCAGCAATCACTGGAGCATGGGGGTGGTACGGAGCGACCCTGTCCTGATGCAGCACAACCAGACAATCCCAGTTAAGAAGCTTCACCAGATATAGCACCTCAAAGAGATGCGCCACAATTTCAGCCGGCCCCTGGCACTGACTGCGAAGCTTAGGAGAACCCCCCTTCCTACGCTCTGGGCAGTACACCCACACCTTGTCCCCTTGTTCAAAAGCCCGTCCGCAACAGTGGACATCGTAGGCTCTCTTCTACCTCATCCCTGCATCAGCTTGAACTTCACGAGTGAAGTCATGTACCTTCCGAAGTTGCTCCCTGAGTCTCTGGAAGTAGTCAGCTTCCACTCCACCAACAATCTAAGGCTGCGGTAGGGCCCCAAACACCAAGTCCAGTGGAATGCGCAACCCTCGCTCGAACATCAGGGCAGCTGGTGTACACTGACTGGACTCCTGTACAGTAGTTCGGTAGGCCCACAAGACCAACGAGAGGTGCCGATCACAGTCCCGCTAGTACTGGTCCACAAGGATTGCCAGTTGTGTGGCCAAGGTGCGATTGAAACGTTCCACCAACCTGTCACTCTGTAGGTAGAGAGGGGTTGTCCTCGTCTTCTTCACTCCCAGCAGCCAGCAAACCTTGTTGTATTGTGAAATTCTTTATCAAAAGGGCTCGTGAAACGGTCGGCAC